CCAGTACCCAGCTCCCAGGAAATGTTTAGTGTTCTGCAACTCCCTGACAAGGGCTGTACACTGCATCTCATCATACTCAGCATCTTGATGCTGAGTGAAGGTGGTGCTTTTATATATGCAGGCAAAAATGTTATTCCAGATTCAGACCAAATTAAAGCTGTTGCAGTCAAAAGGATTTGCTCTCTTTCTCAGGAGGAAAAAAAAAAGTGCAATGATTTACTGCTGTGTCTGTCACAAAACTTGGCTATACAGATCTGAAACATGAAAACCCTGCTTCTTCTTCCATGGAAGCAAACTGCACAATAACTTTAACCACACATTTTCCAGGCCTCCCTTGTTTCCACCTCAGCACAAGCAGCCATCCAGGAGAGGTTGTACATCTGTGCTAAGATGTGGTCCCTGCTGTCCTGCCCCATCCAGTACCTGTTAATTGGCAGCACCAGGTAAGAAACATCCTGGGGCTTAGGGATTTGCCTGGTGTGATACATGGATTTGGATCCAGGGATAGTTGAGTGTTCTCCCTGCTTGGGAGAGCAGGGCTGCAAAGCAAGCCCCAGCCTCACTTCCCCTGGGGTTTTTAGGGCAGAGCTGCTCTGAGCACAGCCACCACAATCAGGCAGTGCTGCGGGCAATGGCACTGTTGGTTCTAGGTGTTTTCCGGCTTTCAGACAACTTTTGAGGCCCAGCTGCCAAGTGGATCAAGGAATACCTTTGGATTAAAACACCTTCTCCCTTGAAGGTTTCCAAAGGCAGCCCCATGACCAGCCAAGTCTCTCTGAATACAGAGCATTGGGCACAGCCTGGGTGTGGGACTGGGAGCAGGGAGAAGTATTTTTCCCCCAAAGGCAGCAGACCATTTCACCACTGACCAACCCTTTTAGCTTCAACATGTTTTTCCAGGCTCCTTAGCACCCAGTGTCACAAGATACACTGGTCTAGTTGATTTTTGGTTTGTTTGTTGTTTTTTTTTTTTTTTTTCCCAGTTGATCTCAAAACATATTATGAAATCTCCTGTGCAGTGGAGCCAAGCTCCTGGCTGCCAGACATTCAATTCTCCTTTCAAACCCTCGTGTTATTTAATGGACAGTGATGTTTTCTGATTTAGGGTAATTCCTCCCTTTGCTGTAATCTTCCTGCTCCGATGAAAAGGACGGCTTTACTCAAACGTGAAGTACATGTATAAATATTTGAAGAGGGATGAAATATGCAACATCTCTACCAATGCACTGTGAATGGGGACACTTCTTCCAGACTCCCAAGCAAAGATTTTAGAGCAGCTCCAAGAGACTTGCAGCAGGTTTCCTAATGACATTTATTTAACACACAGAGTATGGGGACCTGGGGATGTGCAGTGAGTACTGATGCTGTTTCCCAAACCAGATGTGTTTAGAGCTGGGCACACCAGTTATTGAATACTGTTGAAAATGAGTGTTGTAAAATGGAAGTGAATAACCTGTATTTTCATGGATCACGGGACATACTTACCCCTCCCTTTGCAATGAAAACAATTTTTAAGTGATTGTGCCAGGTGACATTGAGACAATTCCTTTGGTCGGGCCTCTCCTTATACTGGCTTGAGAATGCAGGTGCTAAAAATAGAAACAAATGGCATGTATTCATTTTCATCCTATGTAGGATGAAAAGCCGAGAGGTTCACAGTCTGTGGGAACTGTAAGTCTGTCTGCTGGCTGCTATTGATCTGTCCACGGCGAGATGTGCCCTCTTTGCTGCAACAACACACATTTCTATATTTTATTCCAGTAAGCATCCTGGATTCCTGAGAGTTTCCTTTGGTTTGTTTCCACAGGGACATCTGGCTAGGAATTGTAGGCTCATCGACCTACCAAGTAAGCAAACAACAACAACAAAAGAGGTTACTAATGAATGAGTCATGCATGATTTAGTAGCAGCACTGGAAGGCGAATTCCCAAAATCGGAAATTCTCACGAACTTCTTTACTAAGGGAAGCCCTGACAGTCTAAATGACCCCTTTGCCTCTCCCTCCCGGACTCTGTAACAAAAGCTTTGAAGACTTCCACGGAAAGTTCAGTCCAGGTGCAAAGAATGTTTCTTTCAAAGAAGAAACATTAAAAAGTGATGTGGCACGGCATTTCTCGGCACGGCTGAAGGGTTTTCCTCTTTCGCCTGGTGCCGTGTGGAAAAAAAACGAGGGAAAACCGCCCTAAAGGAACGGCCGGCGACCCGCACGGACGGACAGAGCGCCCGCTGCCAGCATACCAGAGCTGGCACAGGAGCCAGGTGTCATCCGGGGCCACCCCTAGGAGGAGGGCGCCCGTTGTGGGGCCGTTTCCACAGGGAGAGATTAAAGGGAGCAGCACCTGGCCTGGCTGGGAGGCGAACAGCGGCCACGCAGCGATGTCTGCCCCCGCCCCCTTCCCCTTCCCCTCCCTCTTCCAATAACACAAACACCTTTCCTGAGCTAAATACCTTCCAGTTCTACAGCCTGGGCTCGGAGGCGGCCCCGCGGTGCTGGGGGGCGGCGGGAGAACACCGCGTCCAGCCGGGGACGGGGCCACGCCGAGACGCCCCCTTCGGCCGCCCGCCCACGCCGTCCCCTCAGGGGCGCGGCGCTCCAGCAACCGCGGGGACGACCCCGGCGCGCGCGGAGACCCCCCTACCTCCGCCCCGCCCGGCCCCACGGGCTCGTACCGAACGCTCCGCCAACCCGCGGCGCTGGCGGCCGGGGGGGGCGGGGCCGCGGCCGGCGCGCCCCACTCTGTGCCTCGCCCCCGCCCGCCTCACCCCCGCCCCCTGCAGCGCTCGGTGGCGGCGGCTGGCGCGGAGGCGGGTGGTGCGCGCGCGCGCGGGGGGCTCTTCTACAGGGCAACAAGTGAGAGGCGCTGCCCGGGCGCGCTCCCGCCCCGCCGCGGCTCCTCTCCCCCCGCCCGCCGTTTCCTCCTCCTCGCCGCGGCTCCGGCTCCGCTCCGTTTCACCCGCCTCAGGCGCGGTCGGCTCTGAGGACACAGCGGTGGGCTGCGCCGTCCCGCGGGGACGGAGAAGGAGCCTTCCGTGGCCGCCTCGGCGCCGCCCCGGCATCGCCCTCAGGTGCAGAGCCCCTGCCCGCTGCGGGGGCCGGCGGAGCGGGGCGGCAGCGCGGAGCTCCGGCGGCCGCGAGGGCCGTGGTGGGGCGGCAGGCCGGGGCGGGGCGGGTGGGACCCCGCGGCGAGGGCAGCCCGCGGCCGGACAAAGCATGGTGGATGCGGAGGCCGCGGCAGGAAGAACCCCGGCGGAGCCCCGCGGCAGCCTGGCAAGGTACGGGCGGGGGGGCTCGGCCGCCGCCCCCATCAGCGCTGCCTCCGCGGGCCGGCGGGGATCGGCTCTGTCGGAGCGGCTGCGGAGGACCGGGGGCAAAAAAAACCCCCCCATTTTTGAATTTAATTTTTATTTCCCGTGCTTTTCCAGGTCGTGAGGTTTTCCTTCCCCGTCACCTCTCGCTTATTTGCGTAGTGACCGCTATGAGTTGGCGGCGCGGGGGGCGAACGGGCGGAGACATAAATTTGGGGTTTTTAAGGGCTGGGATTTTTCTTTTCCCCGGGTGGGGTCACAGCAGTGCGCGGAGTCGCTGCCCCGGCAGCGCGGGCAGCCGGCACATGTTGCAGCCAGAGCGGCGGGGAGAGACACAGCCTGCCGGGCAGGGATGAAACTCAGGCCAGCTCAGCCCGCCGTATGTTTGTCCTCGCTTTTTATTTTTATTTTTTTTTAAGTTTTATTTTATTCATTTAACTGTGGGGAGGCGGCGTTGGTGGTGCCGAAGCCGTGAGGTTTTCCCAGAGAAAGCCCGAGCCGTAGGGCTGCGCTGGCAGTGCCGGGAGCTGCTGCAATCCACTCCTTGGCTGGAGGAGAGGGACAGAGGGCGGCGGTGGCGGAGCGGGGACACTCGCGGCGCTCCGGGGGTCACCTCATTAGCTCGCTGCGACCCAGCGGGTTAATTATTTACATCCCCGTCGGGATTCTAGACAGTGTAGTGCTGAGGCAGTGGCACTAAAGTATGTACTTAGGTGGACCTGAAAGGGGAGAAAATAGTGTTTTTGCTGGAGTTCGCCTGAATATATGCGCTCCTTCACGAGATGACGCTTTTTCGTCCTTCGAACTTCCTGACACATCCTGGGTCCCGTCAGGAGGGTACTTCAGGTTACTCGCAGGGATTGTGGCTAAACTGCAGCTCGCGAATCAGTCATCCTGCAAAAATTTGTGGTGAAAGTTATTTGAATAACCCTTTAATCCGACTTCCCAAAATGCTCAGTGCTGTCGGGTTTGAATATTAAATACTCATGGTTACTTTTAACTATTAAAATAAGAGCTTGCGTGGTTCGGTTGTTAGTTTTTGGGGTTTTTTTCCTTGTAGGGTTTTCTCCTTCCCTTCCCGCCCCCCTCCTTTCTTTAATTTTTTTTAAATATATTTTTTAATATTTTTTGGACAGAAAGACTTGGTTTGGGCACAGAAGAAATTTAGTCCGGCCATGGAAAGATGCGTGCACAAAATTACATGCTAGACATGTCATCTGCGAGTTACTGAGGAAATATGATTATAGCGTTGTCCTTTGAGGAAATTTCTGGTAAATTATTGCTCACCATCTTAAAGAGAGACACAACCCGGAATCCATTTCTCTTCCCAAGCTGCTCGAAGCAGTTTCGTGTTCTTCTTGCAGTTCCGCTTTGGCGTCAGGCTCCGGAGCTGTCACAGAGGGCTTGTGCGGAGGGTGGGGCGAGGGCGGCAGATGACATTCAGGTGCGTGGCACGCTCGGGGTTCGGTTCGGATGGAGAGCCCGGGCTGCTGGCAGAGGCTGTCCTGACGCTCGGTGACCCAGCCGGAATATCTCATGAACCACCCGAGGAGTTGAATGAGCCCTGAATTGTTATGAAATGTGTGGAGGAAACGAAACGGAGAATCAGCTTTTCTCATTCGGCAGATTTAATTTGTAATGGTTTGGGGTGGTTTTTTTTTTTGTTTTGTGTTTGGGGTTTGTTTTGCTTTGTTTTTTGGGTTTTTTTTTGCGGTTGTTTTTTTTCTTCCTGGGGCGGTAAACAACTCGAGAAGATAGATATCTTTAAAGAAAATACCGTAATGGAGATGGATTAAAATACAGAATGTTTGTCTTGTACCTAAAAATGTGATACTGTCAGTTGGAGTCAAAATATTTTGGCTTAAAGGAAACACTGGTTTTGCTGTTTGCTTTGAACGTGTGACTTTCTACAGGAGGTGTTGTGCAGTACTGAGCTGTATGGCTGTAGGGAAGCTATGGATAGAGCATTAAAAATAGAATGTGTTTAAAGTAATTCTGTCACCTTGTCACTTGTAAAGTGGTTTTGCTTGGATTGTGGTTGTTTCTTTTCCCCACGATATGGAAAATGCAGCAAGGTAGCACAGCTGAAGGGACTTGTTTTTGAAGGTCGTGCTTTAGATGGCTGGGAGTGCTAGCCAGCTGTCTGATGCCCTGTTTCATAATAGGTAAAACTCACTAATCTCCCCAGAGATTGCTCCTAATGAACACAGTGTCACTGGTAGTAAAAGAATTTATTATTATTGCCTGGAAGCTGCTCCTGAAATTTTTAAAATATTTCTGGGTAATGAAGATGCTGCTGAGGAGATCAGTGGAGTAGTGGTGTTTGCTCAGAGAAAAAGCAGTGTTTGATGAGAAATGAGAGTGGATAAAGTGATGTCGTATTCTGTGCTGAGAAATCTGGGCAATTGTCTGTATGAGAATGTCACAGTGTATATGGGGGGGGGGCGGGAAGGCAGAATTTGGGCCTTCATCTTCTTGCCCACCCTGGCAAAGATTCCTTGGGGAGAACCAAGCCTTTTGGAGGAGTGCTGCTCCATGGTGATTTGTCAGTGCTGAGACCCCGAGGAACTATCATTTTACTGCCACCTCGTGCAGCTATTTTTACAGTGGATCCAGCTCTGACAGTGATTTTTCCTGTTGACTGTGCAAATCCACTTGAAGGAGGAAAAAATGGTAGTGACAAAAGGCTGTGTCAGTGCTGATCGTGTTTGAAACATAGGATGTGATCATGTCTCCTACCACAGCCAATATTGTCATTATCACAGCAGTCAGGAAGCAGGGCTGCCTTGTCAGTTGATCTGTGCATTTGACCAAAACCTGTATGGTCATTTTGCTCCAAATTACCCCAAGGACAGAAAAAAGATCGAGCAGTATCAATTAAAATCCTCAGCCAAGCTGTTTGGTAACTTATTCTTTCTCGACAGATCACTGAATTTTTGACAAATGTGTCAGATGATCTTGCAAATTCTTTACTTCAGGCGGGTTGTGAAACTTCTCAGAGTTGGTTGCTCGGTGGACTTTTCGTGTGTGCTGTCAGACTTGTGCCTTGTGTTGCCAGTGACTAAAGCAGCTCTGTCAGAAACACATCGAAGGCTGACATTCCAGATCTTAGTATTTTACTGGGTTACATCTCCTGCGGTAAAAACACATTAATTGTTTCTTTTTGAAGAATTTACAGTCTGCGTAGTACGGACAGGGAGGTTTCTTATAGGTAGAGCTTAAAGTGTATAATTCTCAAACTTACCAAGAATAGCCCAAAGGCAGGGTGGAGGGAAAATATTGGCTAGAGTGAACTTATTATGGTAACAAGTTTTCTGTAAAAAGCACTGAATATAGAAAAAACCACGTATTTCATCAAAATAATGAGAATTTTAATTTCTGGGTTTTCACGTTATGTTTCTTGAAGGCCATTGGGATTGATTGCCTTCCAAAATCTTGAAACCAGTTTTGTCCCTCTCACAGGTTGTTGGTTTGGGATTTTTCTCTTAGTGTATATCTTTATTACATTTTCTATTACTTTATGGTAGAAATGCATCGGTAATTTTGAAGCAAGTAGGCATCCATTTACTTTCCCTAACATATTTTAAACCAAAGTGTTAACAGTTAATTTAGGAAGACAGTTGGGTGCATGTGCAATCACGGGATTAGTGTTTGATGTTTCTGGTGTGTCATAGGCTGTGTTCATGTGAGTGCTTATTATGGAATCATTGTTGGAACGGGGATCCCCACAGGGATCATTGGAGTCCAACTCCTGGCCCTGCATGGGACAGTGCTTCATGTGGTTTGGAGAAGAATTTGTGCCTGTGAGTGCGGTTCACAAAAATTCCTGATGTGTTATCTCTGTTCTGCCAGGTTCTGACCTCACAGAGATATATGTAGATGTTTTTATCAGTTCACGGTTGTAACCCTTTAGGTAAGCAAGCGCCCTTCGTGTGCCTAAATAACAACAAAAAAAGAAAGAAAATATTATGATGATGGTAGGATAAAATACAGGCTCTTCCTGTCGTTTTAGTACAGAGTGACAAGTCACCAACCAAAAGTTGGGGAATAAGTGTCATACCTGTCCAGTCGCATTTTCCTTTTACATCGGAAGCACTGACAGATACCTGGGACTCGATCCTGCTCTTTGCCTGTATCTTTCTCGCTGATTTCCTTGAGCCTTTTAGGATGTCAAAGGTTCCTAAGTATAAACCAACCCCTGTCTCCAGATCGTGTAAAACCCAGTGAAAAGACTGGATCATTAAACTGTCTTGTGATGAACTGTGCAGAAGAATGATTGAATTGGTGCCTCGTGAGAGGCAATTAGCATTTACGTAAGGAAAAGAATCCCTGTGTGTAATGGGTGTGGTGCTGAGAGTTTTCAAGAGAGAATTGATGAAGCAGTTTCCATCAGCAGTGGGTTAAGAAAGCTTTGTTGTTTGGGAGAAATACAGCAATAAGAGTTGAAAAGCATTTAATTTGGAGGCAGTTTTGCTCATCTTTGTAAATAAGTTCTGAAATCTAGCAGCTGCTTCATCTTAAGCACATTCAGAAGAGTTAGTCTTGAGAGTGAATTGACCAGATCCCTTCAATTGTAAGCCAGCTATCTGGATCAAAAGAGCAGGAAACCTTGACTTGTGGGTGAGAATGACTAATTTTCCCGCAGCATGGTAGTTCCCAGAGGCTCAGAGGTTTATGAACCGGAGGACGACCTGCGTATAGGGGAGAATTTACAATGGTGTTGAAGGCTTGTGTGCCCCACCCAGATGTGCGTGCTGTAGGATGCGCAGTCTCCTGCCCGAGTTTCCTGCCAGGAGCATCCTGCTCTATCCTGAGGCACTTCGGAGGCTGAAGCGGTGTGTGTGCTCTCAGCCTTATGCTGGTGTAGCTGTTTGTGCAGCTGGGTCGTGAACTGAACTGAGGAACTAAGTGGGTTGGGAAATAACCTTTACTGTTTGCTTGTCTTCAGGGTTATACATAATGCAACACAGTGAGGCACACAAATATGGGAATTTATGACCTGGGAAAGGGTAGAATTATTTTAACTGAGTTTAAGGAGAGCTGCTGCTGAATGCCCGACTGAATGTAGTGCTGGTTTATCTTACTTGAACAATTCTATTTTTTCATCTGATATTTGAAAGTTAGAAACTGCTCATGGGAGATGGATCTTTGAGATGGAAATTGTTGTTGCAAACTTATTGTTGCTCCACTTTTGAATAAAAACAATTAAAACCCGTGCAGAACAGCCTTAAGTTGATTACCCAAACCACTCTCAAGTTTTGTGGATGCTCACTTTGGTGTGCAGGTAACAGGTACAGAAGGTGCTACTCGGATTCAGAAGTTTCTAATCGGGTTAGATGCTTATCTGCTGTTAACAAAAACGGGAGTTGGCTGGGAGTTAGCTGCCTAGCGGCTTAAAGATCCTTTACAAAATCCTCCTGGTACTTACATGCATCTTTAGCTGCCTAAAGCTGCTGGAGAAATTGTTCCCTTTTCCATAAATTTGATAGGCTGTAACGAGATCTGTATCTTAGGTTTTACAGCTTTGAAGGAGGACAATGGATTTCTCTGCTTACTACTCCACTGATTTTTTTGAACTTTAAATGAATTATTCAGAAAGATGAAGAACTTTTCCTGTAAATGTTAATTACACCTGAAACCTAAACCAGTTGAAGGCAAAAGTATTTTTCATGTATTTGCATTTTAAAACGTAGGCTTTGAATTCTTCAATGCGTCTTTGGCTCAGTACTGTAAGTTCAGAGGCAGATCCCAGAATTCTGACATGAATAATCACGGTATGAATTTGGTTTGAATTGACGTCTGAGTAACCACATAGCACTGGCAGGGAAATATGGCTTGAGATGGCTGGGAATTTTACCCTCCCAGTTGTGTATCCCATCACACAAAGGCAGCAGCTTGGGGAAGTCAAATTGAAAACTAGTGTTTATTTTTAACCCCAAAGGACCGTGGTAACCAGGGGGAGGTGTTGACTTCATCACCCGTACCAAGTTACACCGTTCTTGTTTTTGAAACATAGTTTTTACTAGTGTGTTTTGTGTCTAATGTGAGCAAGAAGACAAAGCAGAGGTAAAATTTTGATGACCTGAGGTATGATGCTTGAAGGATGGTTTTGTTAGTTAACTAAATCATGATTCCTCTCTATGCAGATGTAAAGGTGGTTGGAATATGATTAAGGCAGGATTAATTACTGGTTTTAAGAGATACCAGGAGCAGATGTTTGTGGAATTTATGGTTATCTGCATTTTGTGTGGGTTTTCTAACCGTGAGTTTTATTTCAAATAACAGCACAAAAGTAAGAAGTAAGAGAGTGTCTGTCCTGAAGACTTTCTCTCTTTAAATGCTTGCTGAAGGCATCAGTTATAGCTGCAATGTATTATATCCATTCTTTCTCACCAGAACTAGCACTGATCCAAGCATAAGGTATCTGGAAGGATGGTGGTTCCTTATATACTTCTGTGCTTTCTAATAATTGTGGGCAGATAAAGTGCAGCTGGAATGAATCCCATAGCAAGGAGCAGACATGGGCGGGTCACGCTGGGTCGGTCACTGCTCCACTGACCTGGATACAGAAAGTGCCAGAGAAATTCGGGCCCTGGGGTGTACCTTGTAGTGGAATAGGTGGCCCAGACTCTTTCTGCCTCTGGTGGAGCAGTGCTGGTTGTGTTTGGCCCTGCCCAAGGGAGTTCTGGATGAAGGTGGGAGCCAGCAGCAGCAGCAGCATGCTGGTACATGAAAGCTGAGGCTAAGGACAGATGGGCTCTGCTGTGGCCTGGGCTGTGTGAGCCTTCCCTCTTCTCCTGCACTATTCCTGGTGTTTGTGCGGCACATCTTGGTGTGATGTGAGCTGGCTGAAAGCTAATTGCTGCTTTGTTGTAGGCTCTTTACTGCCCTCCAGCTCTCTGAACTGATTCACCACAATCAAATCAGTGCAAAGGTTGCACTGTGCAGCTTATGCGGGGGACGGAATAAATTTACAGGAATGAGTCAGCTATGACTGAAACTGTTTTAAACTGCCATGGAACTGTGCTCCCCCACTTCTAATTGATATGGTGAATGACAATTTTGTTCCAAGAAATATTTCTGTGCTGATGCTCGGTTAAACTCCTTCTCTTGATTCTTTATAATTTACTCTTCGTTCAAGCTGAAGCCTGTCAAGTGAAAGATGAAGTTTTTAAATCAGAATCTGGCAGCTCCGGGTTATTCCTAACAAATTCTCAATGTCATCATTCTCAAGCTTGAACTGACCTTAGAATGGCATGAGAATTTTTTCTATTAACAAACTGGGAAAAACAGGTCACATCTGCTACCACAGGCCCTCAACTGCTGGCATATTAAACTTTAATATTAATTTTAATGAATTATGAGTGAGTTGAGTGTGAAATCTCAATTACTGAAAAAAAATCCCGAAAACCAACAACCTAAAACATTTTTACTGTTAAACAAAGAAACCAAATTTTTTCATCACAAGACTTGTTATTTTGGGTTTGGTTTTTTTCCATGGACAGTTAGGAACACTTTCATAGCTGTCTAGTGTGGCTGCAGGCATGCCAGTGTAGAATGGTAATGTTAGCATGATGCACTGATTTATTGAGACACTACCATTGTTTAAACTGACTTATGTAGGTGTGGTGTACATGTGCAGCTACGTTGCTTGTTCATCCCTGTGGAAAACCATGCCCAAACTCAACTAAGTCTATACCAGCAGAAAAACTGGAATATCCATTAAACCCGGGATTGAGTTTACAGGATATTTTTCATAATGGCCTTTTCTTGCATATGCTTTGATCTTCTACAGAAACACAAGATTTCAAATATGAAACTGAATGTTCTTTCACCCAATCCAAGGATTTAATTTTAACAGGTTAAAAGAAAATATTTAGGTCTAACTTGCAGTGAATTCAGTAGGTGCACCATATTTAAATATTTTCTCAATCAAACCCAGAGCTTTTGTGAGAGGCACCTGCAAATAACTTAAAATACAGAGAGGGTTGGGATGATCTGATGATTTACTGGTAACTGACTTATTTAAAAATGGCTGAAAAAATAGATTACTTTCTGGTTGAAGGTTTGGGGATTTCAGCAATTTGGTTTGGGGTTGAAAATAGTCAGTTTGAGACAGTGGTGAGCCAATGGTGTCT